ACTCCACAAGTGACTCCTCCACCATGCGCGACTTCTCTATGAGTGTTTCTATGTCGCTCACACCATCTCTCGGTAGTCTTTTCCTTATCCGTTTATGAAGTAGACCGTAGATTATGTCTAACCTGGCTTCCTCTGGTAGCTGGTACGGCAATCTGGACAGCATAGCACGTATCCTCACTATGAAACTGTCAGCAAGCTCATCACCTTGCTCAGACGAAAACACGTCACGAAAAACTTTATGTGCAGGGCGTGGCACACCATACATAGCTCGTAACCTTTTGAGAGCGTCGGGCCACGAGGACACTTCGTTCCGGACCCCTCTCCACCATATGGCTGCTTCGCCTTCCATGAGCATTGGTAGTCCACGCAATGCGATATCGTCGGAGACGCACGCACACTCCTTGTACACCTCCACAGAGTCGATAAACGCTTCAACGGCCTCCGGATTGCGAGCGACGCCATCAAAACGCGCGGTGCATTTAGCCATGTTACTTGTTGGCGTCGGGGACGGTGACACTATCGGGGTGGTGAACTTCGATCCACTTCCCAAACCATGCGATGCCCACAGGGACTCGACGAGTTGTCGGTTCGCCTCGGCCTGCGACTTTGAGAAGGCGGCCAGGAGCGAGGACAGCTGATCCCCGGACATGAGCACTGGTGCTGGCGAGGGCACTGCGTCCACCATTTCATCACCAGAATCACTATTGTCATCCGTCTGTTGGTGTATTTTTCGCGGCGGCATTTTTCAGGTACTTCTCGAAATTTCTAGTGGGTAAGTATTTATGTACGCGTCGACTTAAATACGATGACGGCCCCACGTTGGGCGCCAATTTAATGTTAATCATTTATTTAATCGTTACAACTTAAGGTATAACAAGGTATAACAAGATAGTTTTAAATTAATAATTTTGTGCAGCGACCGGCGCATGCGCGTTATTCAAATTTTTCGAAACTCACTGACTGCATTTTTATGAATCCTGCGCAGGTGTCGGTCGCGCGGCGTTGCTCGACACTTTTGGGTTCCGCTTAGCGTGCGAGGATTTTTTTATTATATTTCGGTTCCGCACGTTACAAGATTAAATATTGTTTGTCTTTATTAATATTTAAAAAAAAAAAAACTAGAGATATGAATTCTTAAAGTGCTTTACTGTCTATGGAGGTCTGAGATCATTTAAGTCCATCAGCGCAAAAGTGGCCTAACCCACAATTCATATTCGTGCTTATGTATAGTGTAGCCTTGGCGAAATTTGTGATTACAAAAGTATAAAATACAATTATAATAGTGTACAAACTTACAATTCCAATAATTATAGTCGAATTTCGACTACTGCGGGACCTCTAGTATTATTAAATTGCTTTTTGTCCATTACTCAGTTGAATGCTTTAGAACACCTACCCTTTTTATGAATGGGTGATTACTGGAGACCTTGAGCAAAGGCTCAGCCAAGACGGCAGCATCTGCCTATCCTCAACTCTCACAGAAACATCAGTGAATTTCTTACTTCTTGTAATCGTCTGTCCGGTGAAGCTGGTCACCGACCCCGTGAGCCAGGCCGGCTATGTCCGGATGACAGTAATGCTCTATCCACATCTCCGCGTTGGTGCGATCCGTGACGTCTAATATCACCGACATGCACGTGAACTGGGCTATTTGACTCACCACCACCTGGACCAAAATCAAACGGTGTCTTAGATGAAGGTATTTTAAAATTCATTCGCTGTCTACAATCTCTAGCCTCTGTGGCGAAGTAGTCAGTTTACTGGTGGTAGAACGTCGTGTGAGTCACACGGGTAGGTACCACCATCATGGCTATTTCTGCCGTGAAGCAGTAATGCGTTTCGGTTTGAAGGCCGTGTTAACGAATCAACGTTGCGTCATACATTGAAGGCTGTAATTGGCCAACGATGACGTCATATCGCACGAAGCAATCACAAAACAGGAAACGCAATAGTGGCACCAATGGTCAAAATAAAAAAAAATATTACACGAAGAAAAAAGATGGACGCGCATGCCAATTCTATTTTGTAAAATAAATAAAAATAATATATTGAGTATTTGAAGAAGTAAACGCATTTATTCATTTTCTTGGCCACCTCAAGATACCTCTAAACAATAGACGCAACAGGGCGGAACAGCCGTTGTTCTGTTAAAAGTGAGACCTTAGAACTCAAGTCTCAAGGTGGGTGGCGGCATTTACGTTGTAGATGTCTATGGGCTCCGGTAACCACTAAACACCAGGTTGACCGTGAGCTCGTTCCCCTATCTAAGTCAAAAAAGTGTTTACTCAGCGCTATGACATGCTTTCGGAAGTTGGCAATAGTTTAGGCAGAATACCAGGCTCGACTAATGGCTACTTAAGATCTTATGAAAAGGAAACATTCATAGCTTACGACCAATCAGCTAGTTCGTATAGAATGAACTCACAAAGAAGAATCCTTGAGCGAAGTTTTTGCTGACGAGCAGCTCCGTGCTGTCCTTGTAGAGAACGTGTCCTCGGTCCCCTCTTTCGCACTGACCGAATTCTTTCGTCTTTACCTTACTAGCTGTGGAGTTTTCCCGAAATAATCAGGTCATCGCACAACATAATGCGCTAGATTTATTTTTGTTGCCCTTGTAGGCAGACGAGCATACGGCCCACCTGATGGTGAGTAGTTACCATCGCCCATAGACTTCAGCAATGCCAGGGGCATAGCCAAGCCGCTGCCTACCGAAACTTGTAACCTTGAGAGGCTATGCCAGCGTAATCGAGCGGGTAGGTGACCTCTCGGGGCTCTAAACCTAGGGACGTTGCTAACACTGACCCTAGCACGAACAGTGCTTCGCAGAATCTACCACCGGATCGGAAACGTGACCCACTGAGAAGATCCGGTGAGAAACTCAACGGGCTCCGCTAGATAAGACCTTACTGAAGGCCATGGAATGATACGAATGTGTTTGCAAGTTTTTTGTCGAGATTCGCTAACGTCAGCCATCCTAGAGCACGCGAACCACTATCTGTCCGCAGCAATCGCTTCTGTGTTCGGATGCGAAGTAGATTCAGGTCACCTATCGGCCGTGCTGCCGGTAGTGGCCAAGAGCATGAGCAACGTTGACAACTAACTATAAGATGAACCGTAAGCTTCTAATCATTCAGCTTAGTAAGCTTTGCATTCGTCAATCATCAGTTTCTTCAATAAAATTTACTTGCATTAATCACAAGCCCACAATATTTTCAAGTAGAAAAAGCTGGAAAGTAGTATTATCAAATATTTTTTTTCGTGAGTGTAAATGATTGTGAGTTTAGACATTTTCTAACTCTTCTTTTTCTACACCTTATCCCACTAGGTGGGGTCGGCATAGCTAATTTTTCTTTTCCATTCTCTTCTATCAGCCGTCATCTCAACACTCACTCCTCTTTCTCTCATATCGTCATTCACACACTCCATCCATGTCTTCTTCGGTCGACCTCTTCCCCCTTTACCCCCTCTCTAGACATTTTCTAACGAATCGAAAAAGGACGAATCTATCGGAATATGACCTGGATACATTATGAGTTCGACAGGAGACAATCTTCTTAAAGCAAACTTCTTCGTATCCTCCGCTTCGTCGTCTTCGAAGTCTTCTGATGGCTTCCGGGAGATGATCTCGTCGATCCATGGTAAATACTTGTGGACGTTGAGGAACCTCGACGGGGCACCGCACCCGGGGCCTCGAACACCAAAACCTAACTGACGAATAAACAGAGAGGGTGCGATATTTTGATATGATTTGATTTGATATTTTGATGTACTGGTGTTAGGACCTCTTGTGAGTCCGCGCGGGTAGGTACCACCGGTTTGAAGGGTGGGCAGCCGTTGTAACTATACTTGAGACCTTAGAACTTATATCTCAAGGTGGGTGGCGCAGTTTCGTTGTAGATGTCTATGGGCTCCAGTAACCACTTAATACTAGGGCTGTGAGCTCGTCCACCCATCTAAGCAATAAGAAGAAATTGAGACTCTGTTTGAGATGGTATCAATTTCTCAGTCCATTGTACCACTAGATGCCCTTTTTTCGATTTCATCAGTAGTACCCGGATTCCTTTACATAACATAGAATGAATTTCCAGATATTTCTTCAAAGACCATTCTGCCTTGCACCACGAAACTCTGTATTTTTATTTTTTTTCCTACCTAAGCTTCTTGAGAGACCTTGAGAGGTCTTGAGAGACCATATCAGCGTCACAGGCGAGGAAGTCTGTAAAGAGCTCCCGTTTGTAGTATTCTCTCGGTGCTATAACATATCCCTCTTTAACCAGGATAGTACTTCGATGCCCTCAGCACGCCGGTGACCAAGGTCAACTGTAACCACTTGCAAACCAGGTCGGTAAGTTTGGTCTTTGGCAGCAAATATGCACCAACTCAAATAAACTAAACTAACTATTTCTTCTTCAAAAAAATGTATTGACTTCGATCAGAAATCCTGCTACACGGAACTACTGTTTCTCTGTACCTATTTCTCTAGGCCACGGATCCTCAAAAGGTTCGACACCTTATACAGACGCACAATAATTTAACCAACAGCAAAGTTTTTTATTTGGTAATTAATTTGTATCTATAGGAAAAAAAACTAGAGATATGATTTCTTAAAGTACTTTACTGTCTATGGAGGTCTGAGATCATTTAAGGCCGTCAGCGCAAAAGTGGCCTAACCCACAATTCATATTCGTGCTTATGTTATTAAGTAATTTATTTAAAACATAATAAATTTTGATGCAAAATCGGCCTTTCCCTAGTATCATCCATAGATAATAAATATATGCCTTTGTAAACATAATTTTAGCGCATATTTTTTGCCTACGAAGTATTGTAAAGGTAAATTGGAACCTTATTGTCTCCATACTAACTATGGTAAGCTTAGGCCACTTTTGCGCTGACGGCCTCATTTGACTGTTCTGGAAATCTTCTAGGCCACAATAGTTTGTGAATCCCTGATCTAGACCATGAGGCACAAAATGCCATACCAGTTTCCAGTAACCCCATGACTGTCTGGTGATCAGCACCGCTCCCGCGTCCCACACGCAGGACTCGTGCATCGTCTCTGATACCGCACACGTCGAAGACACCGGCTTCATCTTCTTGTAGTTTAACTGCACCACACTCACATTTATTGGAATTTTAACGTAAAGTAGAAGGTCCTTGGTTACTTTGGTTACATTGCTCGATGGCCACCAGACAACCTTGAAAAATTGACTGTGGTGGGCAAGGTAGAAAGGAAAAGACCCGCCAGCCGGCCACAACCATTGGTCAGATCAGGTAACTGCGCTCACTAGACTCTCTGTTACGACCGCCCTGAGGGAAGCCGAAAACCGAAGGAAATGGAACCTGATGGTACAAAGAACCACGAAGGGCTTTCAGGGAAACGACCTTTGGCAATGAAGTATTCGACTAAGAAAAAGAAGAAGACGTAAAGTTTATTTCACACTTTCGGTGTTGGCTTATATTGGCGGACAAACTATTGGCTCTTTCAGTGTTAAGCGTTTCCATTTTAAGCATTTAAATATAAATTCCAAAATGTGATGCAAAAGAAAGATACTTTGTAAAAACTCTGTGAGTTTGAATGTTTTATTTTTATTGCTAATCTTTTTAATCTTCCTCGACTTATATCATAGAGACGCTGATTTCGATCGGAAAATACTGGTGGTAGTACGTCTTGTGAGTCCGCACTGGTAGGTACCACCACCCTGCCTATTTTTGCCGTGAAGATATTGACATTTTGATAAAAGCGAAACCTTAATGGCTTCTAAGAAGAAATGTTACAAAAACATTATGAATACTAGCATGAATAATTTCATATCAAACTTTTCAATCATAAAAATATTGTTTAATTAATGTAAAGTTATACGATAATCAGAATTTTAATCTACATAATCACAAGTTAATCTATTGACATGTCACCGCCATAGTGCAATAAAAGGACAACACAAACTGCACACACAATGCGGGCTGGATTTACGGCCATGTCTAATGGAGATATCATTGCAGCAGAACAATAGGATTTTGCTGTTTTTATTTTAATTCTGTTTGGTTGAAAGCGTTTAGCTTTTAATACGAGGCACGTACGAGTTCGGGGAGCATTCACCAGAGGTTATTGACCTATAATTTTGTACGATATAGATTGCGTGTATGTTATGTTTGGTTTTCTATTGCTCTTGATTGAGAGACGGACCACAGCTCACCGAATTTTAGTGGTGATAGAAATATCTAAGGCATTTTAAACGATTCACGGGAACTATGTCACCACTCATTTCAGACAGGTTGAGCCCATGAGCTCACCTACCCGTCCCGGCGTAGCTGAAATAGCCTCTTATCCTACCAGCTAATAGGTAGGGAAAAAATCACTTCAGAAACTGAAATCGAAGCGTCAGCTCTTGTATCAGCGTCAGCAGAAATAGGCAGAATCTATTCGATTGATTCCCTTAGCGTAATTGAGTCTCTCACCTGTGCTCTCCGATAGAACTCTTCACAATCCGTTTCATCGACATACTTCATTTTGAGCACCTCCTTCTCAAGCACTTTGTTTTCTAGATAAAACAAATAAAGAGTTGTTAAAAACTTGGAACTTTGTACCGTGAAATGCATTTAGAGAGAGAGAGAGGGAGAGAGAGGGAGAGAGAGAGAGAGAGAGAGAGAGAGAGAGAGAGAGAGAGAGAGAGAGAGAGAGAGAGAGAGAGAGAGAGAGAGAGAGAGAGAGAGAGAGAGAGAGAGAGAGAGAGAGAGAGAGAGAGAGAGAGAGAGTATTCTTTATTGTACACAAAATGAATAAAGAAGGTGAAACATTAAATACAAAAAGTACAATTGGCCGTCTTATTGCTGAAAGAGATCGCTTCCAGACAACTATCTGATGGACATGAATAATTTGGAAATTAGCTCCATTTTAAAGCACAGCTGCAACGAAGCAGGATCTGTGCAGGTTTTTCGATAATTTCGTATCCCTAGCGTAGATAACAAACTGCAGCCTCTCCAGGGCTAAGCGGTTAAAGCCCATAGGCATCACAACAAGAACCCTATTGCCCATCTTGAGATATCGAACTGGCATCTCAATTATATCAGAATAGCACCTGAGCTGATATACTAATATTATTTTGATAGTCGTAATGAAATGCTCACGATTGACAGTACTTAGACACGGCATTGTTTATGACATAGTCAACCATTACGATTGGACCGTTTGTTGATTTGTCAGCACAGCAGTAAAACATGTTACACAGATTTCAAGTTAGGCAGCGCATTTGGTATAACCAAATACGTCAGTTTTTTTATAAATATGGCCTTTTTACGAATGTACCACATTTTGGGACTGGTAGAAACGGAACGTATCAAGAGAGCTTGAAATGGAACGTTAAGATGTGAGTGAGAGAAAACGGTAAGAAAAGGAAAAAGAATGACAGAAAAAAGCAAGATGGCGACGACGATTGAATGAGCAAAGTGCAAAAAAGATGTCAGTTACTTTTTAATTATAATCACAGACAACTTTTGAAAGACAACAGTAAAACTGCAACAGTGAAATAGATTTATTTTATGCGCCACGGTCATAATTCTACACCATTTTCATAAACAATACTGACATTCTTTTTTATACGAGACAAAGTAAGTCCTAACTCACCGTCGGTCATTTTAACGACGTATAAGTCTGTGAACAAGCCAGATCCTTTTACAGGTAAGCATACAGGTAACACGGCATCTGGAAAAATACAGTCTAGATTGTAGATTCCATCGGCGCATACACGATCTGACGTGCGGTGTAATTATATCCAGTGATTATGGTAGGGTCCAAAGTAATTACCAATTTTTCGCAGAATATACTCATTGAACGGTCGGTTTGTTCTTTGTCGTCTCATTCGTGTGCGTCTTTTAGGAAGGCATTGAGAATACTCACAGCTGCCAGTCACGTCCGCCCTTGTTCCTTTCCTTTCTGAGAGTTCTGGTCTCAAGTGGGGGACGGCAATCACGTTCGACACCAAGTTCACCGAAATAAGCAATAAAAGTTAAGGAAGATATTAATTCCCTTTTAGTCTGCGGGTTACCATCAAACACTTACCGTTTGAAAGATAGGGCAGTCATTAATTGCATAGATGGGTAGACGAGCTTACAGCCCACCCGGTGTTAAGTGGTTACCGGATTCCATAGATAACTACAAAGTAAATGCCGCCACCATCCTTGAGATATGAGTTCTAAGGTTTCGGTATAGTTAAAACTGCTGCCCCACCCTTCAAACCGAAACGCAATACTGCTTCAAGGCAGAAATATGCAAAGTGGTGGTACCTACCCGTGCGGACTCACTAGATTTCCTACCACCAGACTATTTGGACAAAAAATCGATAGCTGAGTTGATTAATCAAAATTGTCTTTCGGGAAAATTGTGTGGGTACATACTAGCATTGATTCCTGTTCCCGTCTCTCCCATAGTGTAGAGCTGCAGCAGAGCGACAGTAGCAAAGGTCACCTTCTCCAAGTACTCAGGATGCAGAAGATAATCTTTCACGTCCAGAGCATACTTCACCGCGTCGCTCTTCCACATTATAAACTTGGTGTTGTTTCTGTTTTCAAAAGTACAAAGTGTGTCTAAAGTGTGTGCCGCAAGCCCATTAAGTTTCTCGTCGGATCTTCTCAGTGGATCGCGTTACCGATTCGGTGGCAGATCTACGAAGCACTGGTCTTGCTAGGGCCAGTGTTAGTAACGTCCTCAGGTTAGAGCACCGTGAGCTCACCTACTCGCTCGGCGAATTTAGTAAAATCCCTCGAGGTTTCTAGAATAGGAAGGGATAAACAGGGACACCGCGCTCCCGCCTCATGGTTTGAGTTCGTTAAAGATTGCATTAACTTCAAATTCATTCAACAACTATCCTGTTCTTTACAATCTTAGATCAAAAATAAGCAAATTAGTGCGTTCACCAAAGAAAATATCACAGAAGATCATCAAAGATTTAATTCAAATTTGAAAACCATACATCAATTGTTCCGGCTGTATCTTTGCGATATCTTCGGCCGGGGCGATGACGTACGCTGGATGGATGAGCACCCCACTCGTGATGGCGAAACGGACCTTTTCGCCTAAAACTTAAAAACGAAATTCCAATGAAGATAAAGCGGTGCTACTGGTTAACGTACCTATACATTTTACTTGCTTTTTGAAATTGGACTGTATGAATATTGAAAGATTGGGTTCATAATTTATTTCTACGCTACGAATGCACGTTACTGAACTAAGGATAATATATTAGTTCGTGTGGTCTCAAGCGATGTCTGTGAGATAAACCGGCCAGCTTTGATACTTATCAAAAAGCCCAAATTTTAACTCATTATTAAAAATAAATTTTTTCTTTTTTTTTTATTGCTTAGTTAGAGGGATGGACGAGTTCACAGCCCACCTGGTGTTAAGTGGTTACTGGAGCCCATAGACATCTACAACGTAAATGCGCCACCCACCTCGAGATATAAGTTCTAAGGCCTCAGTATGTTACAACGGCTACCCCACCCTTCGAACCGAAACGCATTACTGCTTCACGGCGGAAATAGGCGGGGTGGTGGTACCTACCCGTGCGGACTCCCAAGAGGTCCTACCACCAATGATTACGCAAATTATAATTTTGCAGGTTTGATTTTTATTGCAAGATGTTATTCCTTCACCATGGAAGTCAATCGTGAACATTTGTTGAGTACGTATTTCATTAGAAAAATTGGTACCCACCTACGGGATTCGAACACCGGTGCATTGCTACATACGAATGCATCGGACGTCTTATCCTTTAGGCCACGACGACTTCGAAAATATGGAGATCGATTTTAATGACGGCAGCTACACAGCACAATCACACTTCCACATCGTGACTGGTTGCGACATCTTTCTAGAAGTATAGTTGGAGAATCATTTAGCATGAGCTGGTCCAATTACTTAAAGCTTATAGCTTAAAGCTAGTCGGTCGTTAGTACTATGATGACATAGCTTTTCTAGAGGTGCCATAAGCCGTATTTTAAAAGTACCACGTAACCTCGGACCCCTAAGAGCTGGGACCTTGTGCGGAGTTTAAGCTTCCGCCCAAAAATAAGGACCACAAATTTGATAAGTACAGTTGCTGTGGTCAGCCTGTAATTGTCATTAATTTCAAGTCAATCATACAAATCGGAACAAAATAATAAATTTCACTGTCAAAACATTCACCACGAATTTCGTTTTCTTTATATTAATCTGATACATTTACTGTAGCAACGTCTGTTATGGTAGCAAATTACTTGCATAAAGACGCCTTGTGAGCCCACACGGGTGGGTAACACCACCCTACCTTTTTCTGCCGTGAAGCAGTAATGCATTTCGGTTTGAAGGGTGGGGCAGCCGTTGTAACTATACTGAGACCTTAGAACTCATGTTGTGAGTAGCGGCATTTACGCTATAGATGTCTATGGGCTCCGGTAACCACTTAACATCAGGTGGGCCGTGAGCTCGTCCACCCCCTTATGCGAAAAAAAGAAAAAAGAATACTTACAAAAACTATGCTGTACAACACCGAGCCAAGGGAACCGTCCTATATCGCTAGCTTTGCCTTCCGGCATCGCTTGTTCGGCGTCAGATGAACAGTCTACGCGTTCCCACATTAAACTTATACATGGTGGCACTGAAATTATAATTTCAATTGCAGATCCTATTTTAGATTACTAGTGGTCACCCTGTAGTCGAAATTTGACTGTAATTTTTTTTTTTTTTTTTTTTTTTTTTNTAACCTTTTTTTTTTTTTATTGCTTAGATGTGTGGACGAGCTCACAGCCCACCTGGTGTTAAGTGGTTACTGGAGCCCATAGACATCTACAACGTAAATGCGCCACACACCTTGAGATATAGTTCTAAGGTCTCAGTATAGTCACAACGGCTGCCCCACCCTTCAAACCGAAACGCATTACTGCTTCACGGCAGAAATAGGCGGGGCGTAATTACATAATTGAAATTATAAGTTTGTACACTATTGAGATTCTATTGCCAAAGACTAATTATGCTTCTATAATTCGGTACAGATTTCGCCAAGACTACTCTTTAGACAAATATTAATAAATACAAACAATATTACTCTATTCTCAAATTGACAACAGGCTATTTTATTTTATTTTATATTGGCAGTATATAACAGACTCTAGGGTGTCAAATACATGGTAGTGTGTGTATGTTTGTGTTTTATTTTGTTAGATCTAATTTATTTTTGATGCATAATTTAAAAAATATTAACATTCTGAACTCCTTCTCTATATTCCCTATAAGTGTGGGAAATTTCATACTACTCCGTCCACGCAATTTTCGTAAAAAGGGATAAAAAGTTTTTGCTTCACGTATTAATATATAGATTCCCATAAGATTATGTTTCTCGAAACTCTACAGTCAAAATGTTTGACTGTAGAGTTTCGAGAGAAACATTGTAGAGTTCAGAACTTGTATATATGCGAGCTTATCTTGAAAATGTCGTAAGCGAGATTCAAGCATCTGTCAAATATCTTGTGTTGTACGATAGTTGGATGGCTTGTATGATTGAAATTACAAAGATTCAGTTAGTGATCCAAAAAGTTAAATAAAAGTTTGTTATGTACTCGTATTCAAA